GGTTGAGCCCAGGGTACACACATTCAGGCGCAGATACGTCACGGGGAGGCCATGGGTAAAGAAGAAAGCAACATTGTCGCCGAATCTACCCCGTGGTCCAGTGCATGTGTAGCAAACATCCGAAGCCTGGAATGTTCTGAGTGTGCCCAACTGTAAAGTCCCAGGCCCGCAACTGTCAAGTTGGCCTAGGCACTGGGGCCCGACCGGAAGCTACTGGAAGCCTCCACGACCAGGCCCATGCAAGGCCAGCAGGGGCTGCCACTTCCATATAGGAAGGAGGGTAGCCAGAGCTCGGCATCCTGGCCAATGCATACATTGCGGACACGCTGCTGCGCTAGCAAGCGGGTGGCTGCACGCGCGAGCTTTGGCCAGGGCACACACGGGCTTTGCGAGGTGAGGGCGCTGCAGGGGCCGCGGGGCGCTAGCGGCCATAACCGGGCTGCAGGGCGCGGGCCAGGAGAAGGGCGACAGGAGGGGTCTTCGGGAGGAGGCGCAGAGAGAGTGGGTGTCAGGGGGTGATGAAGGGAGACGAGATACGTACCTGGTGCATGAGGAAGGTCGGCATTGGTGTTGACATCATGTAAGTTGGCCTTCAGAGACGAAGTGAGCCTGTTGCGTGAATGTGGCTGTAGTAGATAGGCAAGTAGAGTAGGCTGGGCGCTGGGTGCTGGGCGCCAGACAGAGAGGAGCGCCATTGGATACTGCGTTGGTGTGGCCTGAGGGCTTGAAGATTGGCTCACGAGTTCATTGTATTGCTCTTATTTGGATGGAATCTCGGTGCATTTGTGCTCTCTGCTTGTGCATGACTATCTGGACATCTGCGTGATTTTGCAACTTGGTTTTCTGTATATCGCTCTAACTCATATTCCTTGCAACATAATGAATAGTGGTAAATTCATCAAAACTTGATGATCAAAGTGATCTTTATAGGGTAAGACTAAGACTACAATAAGTAAATACGTATTTCAATTTTCAAATCTTTTCTTTTTTTGACGAATCGTGACAGTTGATTCCATAGAAACTCTTGAAAATCAATCATCAAGCACATATATGGAAAAGGCGTCCCGCCGTGTTTTGCATGATTGAGGGGACACCAGAAAGCAAAAGTGTCTTAAGGAGAGCCTCCCTCTCCCCACTTCTCAGAATGGTGAAAATGATGCTCTACTTACTGTGAAGTCGTTGATTAAGTCATTTGCCAGAAAAAAGTGTGCCTCCCTGCGAACCATGGAAATCATAACGTAACAATGCAAAGAAGAAGAAGAACAAGAAGAAGAATGCACAAACCAGTGGAATAATCAAATGAATCAGCTCCCTTGACTTTATGACTACCTTTTCCCCTGAATAGAACGTACGGTCATTATTCCTTTATAGAGACTGAAAAGTACCTCGCATACAGCTATAACGACCGTGTGTTGTATTCCGGGGAAGATGGTAGTTTGATTGCGGCTGTGAAGGTCGGCAAAAATAAGAGCGTGAATTGAGAAGGATTCAGCACCCGATTGTGTTCCTTACTGAATATAATATGTGCAGTTCGCGCTTGCAAATGATTAAAAAAAAAAACAGAACCTTACTGTTCTGGCTCCATGTCCATTCTGGAGAGCATCAGTCCTGTTCCTATTCCACCAGCAAGTCAATGGAATATGATATCATTAAAAAAAAGAAAACAAAAAAAGAAAAACGAAAAAAAAGGAATACATCATAAACACACCCTACTCTCCTTCCCATTATAGTTGAAAGGTCCAGGTGGACGACATTGATTACTTCCCAAGGGAAGGATTTCCCACTTGCAAATGATTAATGATTCCAGGAGCTGCCTTTCCTCCATATTCTCTTGTTTTCCTTTGATTAGATTACGATCACGTCGTGGCCAGGCATAGCAGAGTCATGGGTGCGCGCACACGCATTGGAATTTTGTGAATGCAAAGCTCACTATATAAGCAAAGCAGTGTACTTCCCCATTTCCACGACGAAGACAACAAGAGAGCATGCATCCATCTGAGACACTTGTTCTATGACTTGGATCTCTACGGCATGAGGAGGAAAGCCATTGCCTCACAGTGAGACACGTGTTTCATCCTCCACCTTTCAGCATGTGGGGATCACAGAATTGTCCGCATCACCGAATTCAAAAGCTGTTCCTAAGGTCTACAACGGACGTCTCCACAGGCCCCGATTAGATATCTAGGCGTGAAGATTACAGAAGCAGGTACACATCACTCCAAGGCCGCAGATCTAACGTCCAAGATCCTGGGTAAGCTGGGGGCTTGGTCGAATGTCTACACTTCTATATTCGGGAGGGCACTCATATTAAATGCATTTATCTTTTCTATGATCTGGTATGCAGGGTCAATTTGGACCCCGCCTAATACTATGTTAACATTGCTGAGAAGAAGGGCAGCGGCCTACTTATGGACATCTAATGCAGTGTCTGTACACTTCATTTCTAAGGTGGCGTGGAAGCATGTTACCAGACCGAAGCAGCAGGGAGGACTGGGGATTTTAGACCCAGATCACCAACTTAAAGCACTCCAGACCGAATGGGTGACTAAGTTGATCGCCCAGCATAACTTGCCTTGGCCGTCCCTAGCGCTCTATCAGATTAGGAAATTGGCTAAGTATCAGATTAGGAAATTCGCTAAGTATAGAACCCCACCGAATATGTCGGGCCAGTTCTGGGTCATGTGTAGCACATGGGCGAAAGGGGTTAGGGAAGTTAATGACAGGGGTGGTAATGAGGAGGTAGTAAGGAAGGCATCATATTGGGGTCAACTAATGAAACTCTGGAAGGAAATCTTCCCGGCAAGGGTCAGTGAGCCTCACACAAGAGAAGAAGTTTTGAGACAGTAATTATTTTGTAACTCAAGTATTAGGGATGCGCAGGGGAAACCACCCACCCTCTTAATTAAAGACACGAAATGGGGTAAGTGGCTAGAGCATGGGGTCTGGCAGGTTAAACACCTGTGGGAAGGCTCGGAAAATAGGTGGAAAACAGCTAAAGAGCTAAGGGGGCAACTAAGGGGTTGTCACAGGCTGTAGGAAAATTTAGAAATAGTCCTAAGAGCCATTCCACAAAGGTGGGGGGATCTTCTGAGAAAGGAATCACAGTGGTGGCTGGGGGACTGGGCTACATGGGAAGATGACAATGCTCCAGGAGAAGTCTTCAGGATATGGGATCAGGAGCCTGCAAGGCTTGAATGGCTTCAGGCAGACAAATATACCATCATGCATCAAGGGAGCACCACCTCTTTACTTGAGAAGAACCCCAAAGCGCCTATAACCATTCTCAAAAGTCAATTGTGTAAGGTAAGAGTAGTTGAGACAGACGAATTCACAGTTTTCTGTCGAACTATGCCGGTGGAAGATTTGGAAGTCGACCCTGGGGAATGGGCATGGAAGATCAGAAGTGGCAGTGCAGGATCAGAAAGGAGAATTAATATTCTGCATTACACCACTCGGATCGGATATAGGTTGAGAAGAAGATCCTTTTCTCTTATGCCTCAACTATTGAAGCAGTGGGAAAAGAGGGTGGGGATTCCACCGGGACAACTGTCTAAGTTTCCTTGGCCGGCGATTAATGTGGTCCGCTTGGGAAAAGTCAGAAGCATGCAGTGGCTAATAGCCCATGTGGCTCTGCCGGTGAATGAATGGTTAAATGAGAAAAGGAGTCTGACAAGGAGGGACCCAGCGAATGCAGTGTGTAGAGTGTGTCAGGGCGGCGTGTCAGAATCAATGCAGCATTGTCTGTTGGAATGTACGGGAGCAGTCATCATTTGGGATGAGGCCAGGTGTATCTGGGTTCAGATCTCGAAGGTCCCATGGTTAGGTACTAAATTTCCCTTTTGTTGGGGATCCAAATCCCGAGGCAGTGGCTGTTGTTCGAGAATACGCCAATATAGCCTGTGGACTATTTGGAAGAAGAGATGTCAAATTACTATTGACAGAAGTACAATGCACATACAGGAGGCGAGGGAGATATTCTTGACATTACTTGAAAAAGACTTACGTGCGCAGTGGAAGAGGGTCAGGGCCCAAATTCTGCAAAATCCGGGGCAGGAGGAGGAAATTAGGAAGAAATTCAATACCAAGGTCCTGGGGCAAGGAGCAGTTGCAACCATGCAGGGAACTAACCTTGTATTTAAATGGAGAAGGGGGGTTGAAAGGCAGTCAATAGAAGGGGTTTAAGATTTAAAGGTTGTTTGTTTTAAAAAAAAGGGGATTAAGTTAGCTGGAAACGGCTTAAGGGTTTAGGGTTCTAGAATTCTGTAAGAAGGGCTTACGCTGTTAGAGGGTCAATAGGAGGTTTTGTCTGTAATGTTGGAAAGATAATCCAGGAAAAACGGAAAAAAAAAGAAAAAGATTGGTGGAATAGTTCTTTCTTGTTGATAGGGATAGATCTGGCAGATCTGGGATTTGATCTGAGAGGAAAGAATGAAACATGGCAAGCTGACAGTCAATCCTCCAGAGGTCTGGAGTAATCAATGCTGTTCAGGGGTCCTTCGGCCAAACGGAAGGAAGCGTGTGTTGTTCATAATGTAAACTTCATTCTGGCAAAAAAAAAATAAAAAAATAAATAAATAAAAATCAAAAGCTGTTCCTCTTGCACACTGTTGTTTTTGATAATCACCGCGTTTGCTGTTAATTGATTGCTTTTGCCTTGTAATTTCGTCAATTCAAGTTACCTCCCAGACTCATTTAAGGGAACCGATACACAAAGACTCCCGTTCCAACCTGGCACTTCACTGAGTTGGCACATTCCTTAAGGCCCTGCTGACCCCTGCATAGCCCTTCGGTCAGAAAGCAGTGCTGGGTGTGAGGTCGTGCATCAAGGCGGCGGCAGCAGCAGCAGCAGCGCTGCTGCTACTCGATTCACAAACATTGCTTCCAAAGCTGCTTTGTTTGCTTGACGTTGTGTAAACCAAAAAATAATAAACAAATATGATGCGAGACCTACTCCTTCCTATCCTCAAAACATTTGAATCATCCCCCGTAACTAACATGAGCATTAAAAAAGTAAAAATTTAAAATAGACATTGCACATAAGTCGAGGCAATAAGGGATACACAGAAATATATGAGATTGAATAGCAGCAGCAACAGCCACCGCCAAAGCAGCCGCAGCTGCCGCAGCAGTAGCCGCCACCGCTGCCGCAGCTGCAGCAGCCACGGGAGCTGCAGCAGCACTGGCAGTGGCAGCAGGGGCAGCAACAGCGGCGGCAGCAGCAGGAGTGGCAGCAGCAGCAGCAGCGGAGGCAGAAGCAGCATGGCAGCAGCAGCAACAGCGGCAGCGGCAGTGACAGCAGCAGCAGCAGCGGCAGTGGTGGCAGCAGGAGCAGCAGGAGCGGCAGCACCAGTGGCAGCGGCGGCAGCGGCGGCAGCAGCGGCAGCAGCAGCAACGGCTGTGGCGGCAGCAGTGGCAGCGGGGGCAAAAAGGGGAAGAACGAAGGGGAAGAAAGCAGGGGAAGAAAGCAGGGGAAGAAAGAAGGGAAAGAAAGAAGGGGAAGAAGAAGAAGAAGGGGAGGAAGAAGAAGAAGGGGGGGAAGGGGAAGAAGGGAGGGAAGGGGAAGAAGGGGGGGAAGGGGAAGAAGGGGAAGTGGAAGAAGGGAAAGAGGAAGAGGAAGAGGAAGAGGAGAAGAGGGAGAGGAGGAAGAGGAAGAAGAGGAAGAGGAAGAAGGAAGATAAGGAGTAGAAGGAAAAGGAGAAGAAGGAGGAGGAGGAGAAGAAGAAGAAGAAGAAGAAGAAGAAGAAGAAGAAGGAGGAGGAGGAGGAGGAGGAGGAGGAGGAGGAGGAGGAG